ATTCAGAGATTTCATATAGAAATTAGTAGCGTTAAAAACATTCTGGTATGCTCTGGTCTTTCTGAATTCTTTGGAAGAGAAGAATTGCTCTGTTATTTTTCTGTAATCAAAATTGAGTAAAGAATTAAGAGCTGGCATTTTCCGAGGGGAACATGGTATGCTTTGAGTTGAATGAGGGGTGTCTTGAAGCTAAAAAAGGTTGAGAACCACTGCGAGCATAAGGAAGCTAATTGTAAAGATGGCTGGCTCTGATGCTTCGAGAGAGCAAAGCTGAAGTCATCTTACTCAAGTTGTGACGCTGTCCTCCCTGAGTGGGCTGTCTTCCTATCAGCCCCACATCTAGCAGGACTGAATCAATATTTATGTGTTAGGGTTTGACAAAGATAAAACTATTTTAATTAAGCAAATGCTGGTCCAAAACCTCTAGGCTTTAGACTATGGCTAAAATATAGTTCTGTCCTGTTATATCTACAGTACAAGACTGAATCATGTTTCAACAATGTTTTGTGGTACTGTTTTATAACTGGATTCCTCAGTCGCTTCCTGTAGTATAGATGGAACCCAATTTGAATGTGTGGATAAAGACAAAAAAACAGTAGGGAAAGCAGATACTTAGGGAATGCAGAAACAGATGTAAGCACCCCAAAGATTAAAAACATTCCCACTGGGTTCTAGACCCCTTTCTGCTTGAGAAGTCTGATTTTTTAAACTTTCTTGAGAAAAAAAGAACATAAATGTGGTTGTTGCTATTCTGAGCAGTCAAAAGCTGACTAGTGAATTCCAAGAAAGATTCCATTTTCACATGGCCTAGTACCATGTTGTTAAAAGTTCATTGACACCATGCCTACTATCTGCCAAAAACTATATATAAAAATAGTAGAGAGGATACTGAGCATGATTTACAAATGTGAAACACATGCTGCATATTGTTGTCCTATCAGCCATCAAGTTCTTGCCATGTGTCACTGAAGTTGTTGATGAAGAAGCTATTGTAAGGAAAGTGATCATTCCCCTTTATTCAGCACTGGTGAAGCCACATCTGGAGTACTGTGTTCAGTTTTGGCTCCTGACTACAGAAAGGATGTGGACAAATTGGAGGGCAGCAAAAATGGTGAGGGGGCCAAGGGACATGATTTATGAGGAAAGTCTGAGGGAGCTAGCCTTATTTAGTCCTGAGAAGAGAAGAATGAGGAAGGATTTAATAGCAACCTTTAACTATCTGAAGGGGGGTTCAAAAGAGGATGGAGCTGGGCTGTTCTCAGTGGTGACAGATGACAGAACAAGGAGCAATGGTCTCATGTTGCAGTAGGGGAAGTTTAGGTTAGACATCAGGAATAATTTTCTCGCTAGGAGGGTAGGAAAGCACTGAAACAGGTTACCCAGAGAGGTGGTGGAATCTCCATCCTTTTAGGTTTTAAAAACCTGACTAGACAAAGCCTTGGCTGGGATGATGTAGTTGGGGATGGTCCTGCTTTGAGCAGGGAGTTGGAGTAGATGACCTCCTGTGGTCCCTTCCAAGCCTAATTTTCTATTATTTCTATTTATATATTTTACTCACCCATTTTGATTACTTTTGACTTGAGAAGTTCAGTGTTGCAATAAGTGCACAAGAAACTCAGATATTATTTTTGATTGTAAAGGAAAGGGGTACATGTATGGTAGACTGTTCACATATTTTCAAATTTTTACTTCCCACAAAAAGAAAGATAATTTCTGAATGAGATGTTTTTACAATGTCTTTAATTTCATGACATCCCAGACACTTAGGAGAACAACAAATATTTTTATATTTTCCACGCTTATGCAAAGCACTTTACAAGATGAAGAGAAAGACAGTGCCTCTGCTTCAAAGAGCTTACAATTTAATTTTAAATGTGTCATAATAAAAAAGAAGATGTCAATCAGTAGGGAAGGGATAGGGTAAGGAAGGCAAAAATTACATTAGTAAGATGATGTGGTGATGTGCATTTCTGGTGATTCAGTTAAAAGCTTTTCTTTTGGATTAAGTAATGAATCAAGCTCTCATTAACATTGCAGAAATTAATCTAAATCTGGAATTTGACTGATGAGAACATTGTCCATTATTAGACCAGAACTGGGAGAGCATTCTTTGTAAAGGGAAAGAACTTTTTTTTAAAGCAAGATGCTTGGCAAGGGAAATAGATGCATGGGGAAAACTTAATGTTCCTGGAATTCTTAATAACTCTTGGAGTTCCATGTAAGCTAAAGTACATAGAATATTTACCTAGAAGTTGCCATATTAGATTAGGCCTTTCTCCAGTAGAAAGAGGTAGCTAGTCATGTTAGTCTGAAGTCAGGCAGCAGAAGGCAAAGTAAATATGCACCTTATGGATTAACTAAATAAGATATATAGAGAGCACAAGCTTTTGTGAAATCAAGTTAATTTCATCAGATGCTTGACAGGACAGCACAGAGCGGTGTATAAAGTGGAGTTAGTGATTTGAATACAAAAGGTGGGAAAAGAGGAGGGAGAGGAAGTGGGGAGAGGGACACCACTGAAAGAAGCAAACAAGCAAAGAACTCATGTGAACACTACAGAGCTTGTATATATATTTTCTTTGGTTAGTCTAAAAGGTGTATATCTACTCTGCCTCCTTTCTCCAGCAGCCACAAAACCTCACTTAGCTGTTGTGCAATTGTACACCAGCATTTACAAACGCAGCCATTCCTTCCTGATCCCTACAGCTGCTCTAAGGCACTGAGTTTCAAGCAGCCCAATACCCAGGATTCCTGAGCCACAAGCTGCTTTTATCCCCTGCGTGCAGCACCTAACAGGACATGTCAGCAGAATGGGTTTTGTTTCATGCTTTGAGGAGTTAATTAATCATTCCCCTTTTGGAAAGTGCAGCTGTTGCCTAGCTTGAATTCTGCTGAACTGGAGTGTATTTACCACAGTTCACCTCAAGGTGGATGCACTGTAGTGGCTCTTTGGTTAACGCTGACTGCTGGTGTGACTACGGACCCAGCCAGCATTGACTGTCCACCCTGCCTTCTACTTGACTTCAGACTAACATGGCTAATTCTGTGCCTCCTTCCACTGCATCTGAACAATTGAGCTTCAGCCCAGGAAGGCGTGGGCTACATAAATACACACACACATTTTGGTTAGTGTATAGCAGAGGTAGGCAATTATTTGGGCTTAAGGGCCACTTAGGGAGTCCTGGTGAGCTGTCATGGCCTGGGTCAGCATCCCCTCCCCTGCCACCCCAAAACTCCCTAAGTGCCTCTGCCTTGGGGCCAGGCTAGCAGCTGCGCTGCCCGAGTCCCGCTGTGCACTTGGGGGTGGTGGGACTGGCTGCACGCACCGCAGGCCAGGCTGCCCCCTGCACCTGGACTAGGCAGGGGCAAGGGACCCGCCATGGACTGGATGGAATCTCTTGGTGGGTTGGATCTGGCCCATGGCCTGTATTTCGCTCATCCCTGGTGTATAAGAAGCAAATTTACTCTGCCTTCTACTTGACTTCAGACAAACACAACTATGTGCACCCTTTCACAGCATCTGATGAAATGAGCCTCAACTCTGAAAAGCTTGTCGTACGTATGAAGATGATGTAGGAATATGCATTTCTAGGTGACTCAGTTACAAGATCTTCTTTTGATTTAAGTAATGAACTTATTTCTTGTGAGCATTGCTGAAATGAATCTAAAGGAGGAATTTGACTAATGAGAGCACTGTCAACTGGGAGAGCACACACACATACGTGTATGTGTATATATGTATGTCTGTGTGTATGTCTGTGTGTGTACACATACCCACAGACATACACAAGTATTTACGCATGTGTGTGTGTGCGCGTGTATCCAGGACCCTGTTGTGCCCAACAATCACCTCTGTAGTAAGGCTGGGACTAGCCTGGCTGAGCCACTAGTTTGCCCTGGGAGTCTGAAGGCAAAGAAAAGGCAGGGGAGATCTGCACCTTAGAGACTGACCTGTGTGTGTGTGTGTGTGTGTGTGTGTACACACATGCACACTTACATGTATATGTAACAAGGAAAGTATTGCCAACGGGGCGGGGTAGGTGGGTGTGTGGATTAGGGTGCCCATCATAGAGGACAGTCCAGTTGTCCTCTGTCCTCTACTGAGATGAAATCCAATGCCTATGTCCCCTCTATTTTTCTCTTTGAAAAAAAAAAGAGGACATGAAGGGTTTTGTATCAATAGAGCACAGAGCAGCAAACCTGAACGTCCTCAATGATGGCCACCCTAGTGTGGATACACACACACGTGTACATATACGCCTGTGTATACAAAGACATACATACACATGGGATATGTATATACTGGCATATACACACATAGGTGCCCTCCCAGTTCACAAAGCTTTTCATTGCCAGGGCAAAGTAGCGCCTCAGCCGGGGTGGTCCCAGCACCTCGGCCTGCTGCGCACGACAGGATCAGGGTCCAGGACAGCAGGCGGCCAGCCCGGCTCCGCTCCGGTCAGGCCGTGAGAGAAGGCGGCTGCAGCCAATCCAGCGCCGGCCCCGGGCAGCCGCCTCCCG